TGAAATGAATTCAGCAAAGTAGAAGGATACAGTATCAACCAACATTCATAAATGAACAGCTTTCATATACTCCAACAGTGATTCTGCTGAGAAAAAAATGAAAACTATCCCTCAAAATATACTACATGATAATTAATATAACCAAGGAAGCCAAAGATCACTACAATGAAAATTATAGAACAACAAAGAAAGAAATTAAAGATGACCTTAGAAAATGGAAAGACCTCTCATGTTCCTGGATAGACAGAATTAATATTGTCAAAATGCCCATATTACTAAAAGTAATAAATAGTTTCAATGCAATTCTCATCAAAATACCTATGACATTCTTCACAAAAACTAAAACTTAAAAAAAAAAAAAGGCCTAAAATTCATTTGGAAGAATAAAGAGACCCAGAATAACCAAAGCAATCCTGAGCAAGGTCATTTACATTGAGGCATCACAACATCTGATCAATTATACCACAGAGTTATAGTTAAAAAACAAAACAAAACAAACACAGTATTGGCAACAAAACAGAAATGAAGTCCAACGGAATAGTACAGAAGACCCAGAAACAAACACACATACTTACAAACATCTGATACTTGACAAATGTGCCAAAAATACATGTTGGAGAAAAGATAGCCTTTTTAACAAATGGGCTATGAAAACTGAATATACATATGTACATAAATGAAACTAGATCCTTACCTCTCACCTTAAACAAAATCAAATCAAAGTGGATCAAAAACTTATGAATTAGACCAGAAACTTTGCAACAGCTTAAAGAAAACACAGGGTCAATAGTCCATCCTATCAGTGCAGACTCCAACTTCCTTAATAATATCCCTAAAATTCCTGAACAGAAAGGAAAGAATTAAGAATGTGAAGAGAGAGCCTACAGAATGAGAGAAAATCTTTGCCACCTACTCCTTTGACAGGGGATTAATATCTATAATATATAAAGAACTCAAAAAAATGACATAAATAAAAAGATATTTCTCAAAAGAAGAAATACAAATGGTCAAGAAATACATGAAAAAATGCTCAACATCTCTAACAATCAGGTAAATGTAATCAAAACTACCCAAAGATTTCATCTCACTCCAGTCTTTAATGGCAATTATCAAGAATATATAATAATAATAAATGTTGGCGAGGGTGTGGAGAAAAAGATATACTCATATATTGTTGGTGGGATTGCTAATTAGTATAACTATTCTGGAAAGCAGTATGGAGATGCTACAAAAAACCAGGAATGAAACCACGACATGACCCAGCTATTCCACTCCTTAATATTTATTAAAAAGAACTAAAATCAGTATATATGGTGAGAAAGCCACCTCAAATGTTTATAGCGCATAATTCACAAAGCCAAATTATGGAACCAGCCTAGATGCTCATCAAAAGATAAATGGATTAAGAAACAGTGGTGTATATATATTTACAATGAAGTTTTACTCAGTCATAAAGAAGAACGAAATTATGGCATTTGCTAACAAATGGATGAAAATGGAAAACATCATGCTAAGTGAAATATTCAAGCCAGAGTCAGAAAGAAGAGTTGAATGTTTTCTTTCAGAGCAAAATAAGGGAAAAAAAGGTAGAGGATTGGATATCATAAAGATATATGGAAGATCAGGAGTAGAAGAAAGGGATTGAGAGGGAGGAAGGAACAATGGGAAAGGGGAGAAAATGTGAAATAAATTTAACAAAATCACGCTATATGCATATATAAGCATACCAGAGGGAATTCCACCTTTATGTGTATTTACACAGCACCAATCAAAAATGAATAACAAGTGAAAGGAAGACCAGTAGAGAAGGATGACCAGTAGAGAAGAATGACCAGTAGAGTAGGATGTGGAAAGTGATGATGATTTGAATCATGATCTGACTCCCTCATGGCTGCAATGCACTAGGAACTTTTTGTGTGAAGGTGCAGGGCAAGATGGCCCAGTTGCAATGGTAACACCAGGAGAGGAGATTACATGCAAAGGCATGTAGCTCTTACCAGTGGAGGCCTTGAGCTCAGTCATCAAATCCCAGATATAGAATTCTGAGCATAATAAGATGACCCTAATGTCTCACAAGTACTGTAACCTTCAGATTGCCTGCTTTGCTGAAACTTTCCCACAAATAACCTTCTGATGAAACATTAAATAATAAATGTGCTGAGCTTGCTCTAGATCACTATTTCTTCATCAGAGAGCAGTGTTCCACTTGGCCCCACCTTTTGCTTTCTTTGTGTGTCTATTTGTCTTTTCTCCAATCCCCATCACACCTGGTCCAGCTTCTGAATTAATGGCCCAGATGTGAGAGGCCCAGGGAGTTGGTGCCCAAATAGGGACCGGACACAGAAGAACTTCAATGGTCAGATGAGGGGACACTCCTGAGGCCACGGTACCCCAACAAAGGTGAGGAACACAAGTTTATAGATGGGTGTAAAACATGGGACAACTAGAGATCCCTTTCTTTGGATCCTATGTTGCAATGCTTAAGACTATGTTTTCTTAGCTTCTGCTAGATGTTTATCTCTCTTAGGCTTGCATCTAAACTGCAGAAACTGGTTTAAGACAAAAGGAAAAAAACATCCTTTTAAATCTCAAGCCACTAGGCTGGTTATCTTATCTCCTTTTCACACATCTTGCTTTCTTAACAAATTCCTCCCTAACACTACAGCACAGGGAGAAAAAATGGGATGCTCTCATACATATAATTTTTCTTTTCCTTAAAAATCTTTGAGGATTTCAGCACTGTAATCTGACCAAAGAGTAAACTCTGTTAACTACATTTGTATGATATCCACCAGAGTTTGGCTGCCCACCTGGCCCTAACTTTTTCTGTGTGTCTGTCTTTTCTTCATGATGGGGGCATCACCCCTCATCTGGTTTTTGAACTAATGGCCCCACTGAAAGCAGAGATGAGAGGACTGCAGCAGGCAGTAGGGGGAGGGAGCAGTGGAGGAAAAGGTATGGGAACCAGAACTGGTTATGGAGTAAATCAAATCAAAGTCATACACATGTATGACCTTCTCAAAATGAACACAATTGTTATGTATAAGTAATTCTTTAATAAAAGAACAAAATAGAGCTATTAATTTAAAAATTATGTAACTTCTATACAGTAACAGAGTTCGGAAAATATTAAAGATCTGATTTCATGCACTCAGACCAAGAAAATACAAACTGAAAAATTTTCGTTAATACAAATTAAAATTTATGGAAATGCTGACAAGTCCCTTAGAGGGAATTTGTAAAACTGTGTTTATTTATGTTTAGTTCTCCCTCACTGACCCAAGTTAATATAAAATGTAATTTATTTTATACGGGATATTGAAAAAATGTTATGTGTAAAAAACAGTCACAAAATAATCAGTATAATTATTAGTAACAAAAACAACAGAGGTAGTTAGGCAAGAGTTTTTTTTCATATAAAACTTCAATAAAATTAAATTATACACAAAGCATAAGTTCCAACTCATATAGAAATAAAATTTTATTTTAGCATCTACACATTAGTTTGAGTATAGGGCAGAAAATCTCACTGGAAGTTATATTTGGAGACAGGATATATAAACTCAAGCTCCAATAAAAATCAACACAGCATAGCATGCATAATTTAGAATGCTAGGTCAAATAATATTCCACATACATACCACTCCATTGTGGTGGACCTATAGAACAGATTATTATGAGTTAATGGACTTCAAATGATTATATACATACTCAAAGAGATACACTGGAAGTCACATGTCTATTTATTTTTATAAATCTGATTATATAATTTTACAAATAAAGTGTCAAGGAGACTTTTCAAGACTTTTTTTCATACCTTTGAATATTAACTTACAATTATATACTCAGAAAAGATGGTAATAAATTGTAAATTTGCCTTTTTACTCTTCCTTTAAAAAGTCAAAAATCTGTCTTACATAAAATCAATCTTTGGTTTCTATAAGTTTCCAGATTGAAAGTCAGGTTCTTGCATATAATAATAAAAAAATTGTATTTCATTTTATTCCCAAAGCATTTTTCTTAATAATTCCAATGACATTTTGTAAATTAAATTAAATTTGTAAATTAAATCAAGAAAATGCCTTGCCTAATTCAGTGTTTCTGAAGCAGATAAAAAAAAAAAAAGAAAAGCAGTAACAACTACAACAACAAAAATAACAAATAACAAAACAAAACAAAACAAAAACAAACAAAAAACTCAAACCCAATCTAGTTCATATGATCCACTTTTAGTTACAGGTATTCAGGTGAAAGAGAAGCCATGGGTATGGTCAAGTAATGTCAACAGTTACTTTATAAACTTAAAAATCCAAAAGGCTGAGAGATTCTGAGCATTATCAGAATGTATGGCAAGGTGGGTAGTAATAGTGAAGAAAGAATGCTGAGGAACACATGAGGGTTGTCAAGACCTTCCATCATTTGTACACTAGCAGTAACCATGACTGACCAAGAGCATTTTAAAAGAACAGTGGTGTTATGCCCAGGATTTATTTTTAAAAACTGACAGAATTTGGAAATCTAATTAACCTGCAAATAAAATACATAAACATCATGCTCATTTCAGTCAAATTAGCATCACTTATGAGTATTTACATGGATGTTTCCATGATAAGACTATAAGATGACTGTCATACTGAGAAATTATTTTATTTGCATTTTGCTGAAATAATTGCTAAGACACAACTAAACTATAAGGTGCTTTAAATATCAGATTTTGTAAACTGCTCTCAGGAACCAAAAGACAATTTTGTACTTTATTCAAGAAAGAGTTTGCATTTTAAAATTAATAGTGTTTACATTATTTGTATTATGGAAATGCTTACATTATTGGTTAAGACAGTGATTATATTTAAAAAAGTACTACTTTTGAATTATAAGAAATACAACTTAAAGGAAGGATTCTCACGTATGTATATAGCTACCTACGATGAAACTGACCAATCTCAGAACATTCACAAGAAAAAAACAAATCCAAGCGCTTATATAGAAATAAAAGTTACCTTGCCTTCGTAGTTCATTTTTAACTGCTTCAACACCTCCTGTTTTTTCAATAAAGTCATATATAACTTTTGATGTTTCTCGGTCTTTAAGTTGTGCCTCTGAGATTCCACACAAATCAAAAAGATTCTTCAATTCTGGATCCAAATTATTCAGCTACAACAGATAACATAACTGCTAACTATGAAAATTAATTCAATTTTTTAAAAATAACCATGATAAAATGGAATACTCATCTGTATTATAATACTTGTACCCCAAAGACTCTGTATAGTACCCAACACAAATAAGTGTTCAATAAATGTTTGTAGAGTACAATGAAGCTACATAACCAAAGATTATTGACCCCAATCACAAATATTTTTCTTCAAAATAATTTTTCCAAATACTAACTTTTGTTTCTTGGCAGTACTGGGAATTTAATCCCGGAGTGCTAAACTACCAGAGTTTTTCAATTTTTATTTTGAGATAGTTTTGCTAAATGCCAACGGTGGTCTTGAACTTGAAATCCTCTTCCCTTAGCCTACTGAGTCACTGTGATTACTAGAGCATGACACTGTGTCTGGCTCAACACCACAGCTTCACTTTCTTTATCCTCAAAGTACTATAAAATAAGGGATAATAAAAAGTGCCACATCTACACTGGGTTCGTTTCTCAGCACCTCATACAAATAAATAAAATAAAGGTCCATTGACAACTAAAAAATATTTTTAAAAAATAGTGCCACATCTAGATAATTCCACAATTGAATATTCAGAATTCAATTATGCTAATTTCTAGTAATTTAGTACATATTCCCCTGAATTATCCCTTGGCAAAAATAACTTTCTTCCCTTGGCTTTCAAAGCATAAGTCTTCACTTATTCAGTAAATAAAGTCCCAGAAGCATAAAGTTTTGTCTTCCAAGATTTGGTCATGAATTAGATAAAACAATATTATAGTTTCAAGGCTCAGTGGTTCAAATACATGAACACAACCACACTCAGAGATAGTAAAATATTAATTAAAAAAATCTAAAAAGGCTGTAACAGTCCTATTTTGAGTAATAATGAATATGGCTTAAAAAGACACTTACATCAAAGCCTGTATTTGGATCCCAGCCAACATGTCCAATATGCCTAAAGTAGAGAATTAAAAATGAAGCGTAGAAAAAAAATGCATAAAGGAATTGAAAACATAACAAGAATGAAATCAAATGCATCCTTTGAATTTTTGGCCTGCACTGATAGTTCTCATAGACTCAATAGTATTTTGGGAAGACCTATATACCAGGAGTTATGAAAGCAGGATTCCAGCCATGGCAGTGTAACAACTGAATCTTAATATTCTCAAACAATCTCTTTGAGCATCTATTTCTTCAACTGTCATATAAGAATATAAGAATCATGCATATGAGAAGATAGGAGTTTTGTAATGAGATAATAAAGTAATGCATATGAAAATGCTTAAAATATGATATATAAATATCAAAGGCTTCTTTTCCCCTCTAGACAATGCCTGCAAGCAATTTCCAAATAATATTTGTAGATCAGAGTGGGAAATCATCTTCATGTTCAAAAATTAGTTGAAATAACAAGTTTATCTAATTTTTCTTTTCTGATGGGTGAGAAACTAAATTAGTTGTAAGATTCACAGAATATATACTGAGGAAGTGTCTTCAAAATCTCCAACAAAATCTATAGCTTTTAAAATACAATGAATGCAAACATCCTGCCCTCCTCCAACCCAGCAAAAGAAAAAAAATCAGGAGCATCAATGATGAGTAAATCAAAAGTGAAAATAAGAACAAAAAAACTCTTACTGGAAGTTGCTTGGTGTTCCAATATCTGCCTTGGTTAACCTCTTCTTTTTAGCTTTTCCTTTCTTCTTTTCTTTGGTATGGGAGATGTTGTTGACTTGGGTACTATAAAATCTATTTGTTGTGATTTCTGGATTTTTTATATCAACTGTAGCCATAGGTAGATTGGGACCTACAAATAAAGTCAAAATAACATTAAAGAAATTTTATTTAACAAAATAATTCTATATAATCATAATTTATAAATTTAAATCTTTTTCTAAAGTAGAATCACTTCATTATTATAAATTAAATTTTAAGCCTGTATATACTGATGTTTTACAAATAAGAAGGTACTGCTTAAATTTCTAAAGCCTATAATTAATTCATAAACACTGTGGCATAGATGTATTATTTTACATCAAACTTCTATTTGTATAACATTAATTCTCAGGAAGAATATAAACTTCTATCAAATTAAATTTAATTGTTCTAATCACTTATATTTTGCCTATAATAGTCTCATAGTGAACACACTGCTCACTGGTAAGATGGTATATACAAAATAAATAACAAGGATAAAGAAAGTAAAAGAGGTATCTTCTTTGTTTTAAATTTAACAAAGAAGTCTAGTCTTACCACTTTGTTTCAACTTTATTAATCCTTGAGGAGAAAAGTACTTATAAAATCATTACTACCAATTTTTCCAAAACTGCCATATTTAAGTCCATTAATATTTTCCCTACCAGTACACATAGAGAGCATAAGTATCAAAAGCATATAGCTCAAAAACCTAAAATGGAAAAATTCTTAAAAACACATATGTTTTGCAAGGATCAACAGTTAAAATACCCTGGGCACTCCTGGATATTATCAGTAGCATTTTTAGGGGTGACACTAAGTGAGGTAGCACAAAGCTTGCCTTATAATTAAAAAACTATATTAATGGAATAATAGTCTGAATGTAATATATTCAATTAAAACATGAATTTAAGTAAAGGTCAATAAATGTTCCTTAAACATCCCATTTCAATATACAATTCTCTAACAAAATCTCTAAGATCATTACATTAGTGACAACTTTCAAAATGTATAAACTACTATCACCATTTGTAGAAAAGGAGTTAACATAACACAACAAGGATGGCCTTTCACTGGCATCTGGGAAGTTGCATTTTGAAAACATTACCCCCATTCCCTAAAAGGGTGGGCTCATCATGTCTAAACTTTATGCTAACAAAGTGATGTAGGTTGAATATCTGCTTTCCCCTTTGGAGTCTAGAATCATGGTATGGCAGATGCCTATAGGACCAAACCCCAGTAAAAGTCCCAGGCACTGAGTCTCTATCTAAATGAGCATTTTCTTAGGTAACATTTCACATATCCCAATTCATTGCTAACAGAATGAAGCACATCTCTTGAGACTTCACTGGGAGAACTCTTGGATACTTGTATTAGTTTCCTATGTACTTCATCCCATGTGTTGTCACCTTTGCTAATTTTTATATCTTTTCAGTGTAATGAATATCTGCAATAAGTATGACATATGTGGGTTCTTCTGGAGAATTACCAACCATGGGGATATTCTTGGGGATCTCCAAAACAATCATATAATGGCAAGTCGAAATTTCAAGAAATTATAGGCTAATGCATATCAAGTGATCACTCAATGGCAATTTGACTATAATTTATTAATTATGTTGAAAACCTTGAATGAACTGAATGCAAAGTTGTCTGTAAGAAAAATGTTTACCTACTTGGGTAAATTACATATAACCTATTTTCTCTTTCTCTCAACTCTACTATTTTTTAAAAATGAAATAGAACTTCAAAAAATTATAAATGCCATGTGTCCTTATCAGAGAAGCAAACAATATGAAAAAATGCATATTTTTAATATCACCAAAACTGAGTTATTTTCCATCAATAGTCAAAACGTATTTATATATAAATAATCTAAAAGTTTTATTTATAATTTCATTTAAAAAAATTCCATGGAATTTGCTGATATTGGCAAAAGTAAAGCAACTAATACCCAAAAAAGTGGAAGCTACTGAATAAAATAGATAAAAATCATTAAAAGTTTCCTTGGTGTCAAGGAATAATCTGAAAATAATGGCAATCAGAAGCAAAGGATAGGTGAATGATATGGAATGATCTGAAAGGCTGATTAAGTAGTAGACAAGGATTGTTGTTCACATATTTCAGCATTTGCTAAAGTTTCACAATACAGGACTCATTAAGAATACCCCAAATTTGAAGGTTAAAGGGTTGAAATGGTGACACAGAGACTTATCTAGTGATCTTTTCTCATTTTTCCCTTTCTGCCTGCTTTTTTTGATAACTTATCTATACCAACCAGTATCAGCAATACCACAGTAAGAGGCTACAAATTGTTTATTCTCTTATCTTTATATTCAATAGAATCTTTAAGAGTTCACTTAAGACAGACCTGCAAGTATCAGGTGCCATCTTTATTCCTACCACTTTTTCTGAAATAGAAATTCAAATAACAACTACAAGGGAAAAACCACTCACTACTAAAAGATAAAAGCAAAAGCTAATCATAATCATTTTTAAGGGAAAAAGATATTTTTGTTTCTTTGTTTATATAAAAGTGTTCTGTAATATTATGGATGACCTAAATGGTAATAGAGTAGGATAAAGTTAAATTTGATGGTTTAAATTACTCAAGCTAGTATTTTCTTTACTATGAAAATAAGTTAATATTCTTGTGAGCCTGATTTATAGCTTAGTAGCAAAAAGTAACTCAGTGGTCTCAGAAGAAGAACCAAGAATGAAGAGGACAGAACCAATAAAAGTGATGCGTAGAATGAATAACAATGTTTAACTCACACTACAGACAGACTGTGTTTCCCCTCCTCCTGTACCTCAAAAATGAATGAATTGTTAAGCATCTGCCAAGCAGTTATAAAGCTTTGGTGTAAGCTCTTTTGGCGTAATCTCTTTTAATTTCACTAGTACTGGTTAAAATATTATTTAAGTAAGTCTACTGAGAAAATTCCAGACTATAGAGATATATAAAAGTTAGTATAAATGTGAAATACAGAAAATTAGTTTTTCTATCTTTCATTTTATTTATGAAAACAAAAGACAGAAGACCAAGTAAGCTGTATGAAGTCACATAATTGGTGACAAAGCAAAGTAGGTGAACGTTGTTATTTCCATTACTTTTTAACTATTTCCCTTCTGTGCAAAAGTCACACTACAAGGAAACTGATAATATTAACTTTACAAATGTTGCCATAAATTATCAATTTATCAAATCTCAACTTGCAATCCAAAAATTCAACATTCATTAAATCTTTACATTTTGGAATTTAGGAAAATACTTTGATACATTTAAGAGCTTAGGTACTTCATTATTTCTGCTGATAATAGCTATTTAGAGTGTGATGATATTAGGAAATAAGTTTAAATTGATTCTAAAGCCTAATTATGTTTCAAAAATGATATAAAAAAGAGATAATTTGTATAAGGCACAATCATATTAAAATATAGAGAAGATCTGGTATTAGATATTCAAGCCATTCTAGTAAAATTTAATTATTTCATTTTTGAAGTTAGACTCATATTAAGATCACCTACCAAGTAGTACATAATGGAAGAGCTGGGTTTTTTCCTCTCAAAAAGAACAACCAAATGATAAATCACCTCCTTCTGATTTAGGAAAACTGTCACAGGAAAAGGTTTTTAAATATTCTTGAGAACAGAAGATATTTCTACTTAATTTTAAATCTAAAGAAATAAACAAGTATCCTTTAATTATATAAAAAGCAGAGACTTGTCATCAATGTGAGAGAGTTGAAAAAACAGGTGGCCCAGAGGCCTCTGATGTCAAGCAGTCATGATGCTGAGAACAAATCACTGTAAAGTGCATAAGCTAAAATGTCAAATTGGCTAATGAAGTAAGGCATCAGTGAGGAAGACATGAAATTTCATTTTAGGAATATATGTAACTTCTACTCAAGTGTCTTTTAAATAATTACTCAAAATGATGTGGTAAACAGATCCTCTTAAATGACATTCTGTAACCAAGTTCCCCATGGACACTGCAAGGCATGTTTAAGGTGCCCAGCGCCATCTAGTGGAAGGCACCAAATGCAGTACAGTAGAAGCACTGCTGTAAAACAGCAAGACAATCTACTTGCTGAGCTGCAAGAATAAGAAAAAAGTATTGAAATATATTACCAATTATTTAGATCATCCTTTATTATACATGTGAAAAATTAATACCATATTTTAATATTTTTAAATAAAAGGTAACAATATTGGCAACACCTGCTGTGTAATTTGACCTCCTACAACATTTTTAAAAAATTTAAAAACCCCTTCATTTATTTAAAAAAAAAGTTGGGTCAGCTCATAGTGGAATAGGGAGGGGGAACATGGGAGGAATGGATGAATTCTAGATAGGAAAGAGGGGAGGGAGGGAATAGGAGGAGGCAGGGGATTAGCAAGAATGGTGAAATGTGATGGACATCATTATCCAAAGTACATGTATGAAGACATGAATTGCGCGTCAACCTACTTTATATACAACCAGAGATATGAAAAACTGTGGTATATATGTGTAATAAGAATTGTAATGCAAAAAAGTACATGTATAAAGACATGAATTGGTGTGAACATACTTTATATACAAAGATATGAAAAATTGTGCTCTATATGAGTAGTAAGGATTGTAATGCATTCTGCTGTCATGCATTAAAAAAAATCAATTAAAAAAAGAAAAGAAAGAAGTTGGAGACCACTACATCAAAGGGTAAAAGCTATGTATCTAAATATTTAAAACCATGAGCAATTTGAGCAAAATACACTACTAATGAGTGACTCTCTTAGTTGGGATAACAAAATTGTGAGACACCATCAGCACATGAAGAACTTTTAAAGTTTATCCATGGAAATTAGATGTCTCTTCACAAATACATTTTGTATATAATGAAAATACTTACATTCTTTAATTATATGACTTGTACAATGTCTACACTTTAAAATCTCAAGTTGCTTTCTCCAAAGTTTTTAGATAGCACCACTAAGAAGTCTTCCCCACTATTAATGTATGTTCACCAAATGCAAAATAATTAATAAAACCACAGAGGTTAAAATACTGGGCACACATCAAAAAAAATTCTAATGCTGCATCAGAAGTTCACAAATGCCTCAGCTGTTCTGCTTCCTTTGCTTTTGCCATATACCAACTGTATATCTTCAGACATTTCCCCCCTTCTCTAGGTCTCCAATCACTTGAGGCAGAATCTTGCTCCAAAATTTTACTAGTTTTGTTACTTTGAGCAAGTTACTTATCTGTGCCTGTTTTTTCATCTATAGGAGTTATCTCAGAAGATGCCTGGTGTAAATGTTCATTAAACAGAAGCTGCTATTATTATTGTTGCCATTATCTTCATCATGACAACAAGTATTTATTAAGCACTATGTTAAATACTGTGATTATCTCATTTAAGTCCCAGAGCAGCCCTGTAAGTATTAATATTTCTATGAAACCCATGGTAAACACTACTGAAGGTTGTTAGCCAACAGAAAAATTAATAAGGTAAATAAAAAATTTAATAATGCAATTTTTAGTTTGTTTTTATATCAGGAAAAGAAATTTAAGAACAAAATCAGAAAGCAATTTATTTGCTTAAAAGAGAAACCTCAGGCTGGGGATGTATTTCAGTGATAGAGTATTTATCTAGCATGAGAGCAGCCCTGGTTCTAATTCCCAGCACCACAAAAAATAAAATTAACAAATAAAACAAACCTCAATAATTATCCAATAGTCACTATATAATAAAAACTTTGTGTTATCTAAGTTTTTTCTTGAATAACCATTCTAGGTTCTAATGGGAAGTTGTGAGATGCTTTTTAAAAAGCAGCAGCTACATTCTCCACTATAATAAAGGTTCCTTGGAGCAATGGTTCCTCAACTTCACAGGGGTCAGGAATTCCACTTAAATGTGGTAAAAGACATGGTTCCTCTCTCTTCAGAGAAAAGAACATAGACAAATTAATAAAACCACAGAGGTTAAAATTTAAAACATAATTTTAGGGAGGGTTTAAAATCCAGGATGAGAATCTACCCTAAAGGTCTGGGACCTTATCTTTCACATCTCTGATATTCAATATTCAAAGAAGCAAACAAATGAATTCATCATATTTCAAGTGTTCATTATCAAAGAGGGCTACAATTGTGTATGCAGGTACAATTATTTATAAACACTTCTTCATAGTAAGTATTCATTTTAAAAGGGGCTTCATGTACCATATAACAAATGTGAGATCTTTTTAAATAGGGAAAAAAATGATAAATCTTAAAGTAGGATATAAACAAATACAGTAAATGAAATTCAATGCCTTTACGGTAAGTATGGACAATAGTGTACAGTTTCTAAACTTGGCCAATTTCTGTGTATAGAATTAAGTATGAACCACTTTCATTCTATGGTTTCTTCCTTCATGTTAGGAACAAAAACAACAACAAAAAACAAATAATAATACGTTTTCTCTCACCCGCCATTCATTAATTTCCAATAAGAACATAATTAATAGCATTTGATCACAGACACTAAATATCAGAAATTAAATGTATGGTACCATACAAGAATTAAACTATAATTTAAAATCTTTTTAGTTAATAATTATGAAAGAGCTTACCATTTGGGGGGTCTCGTCTTTTCTCTGTTAGAAAATAAATTACAATATTATTAGACTTGTGTAACACAACATCAATATGAAAAATTAATCCATTTGAACTCTATTCCTAAATAGATGTGCAGATGGTTAAGGAATATTTTTCTGAAGAATATTTAAGCAAACATCTAAATAAAGTAAGAAAAGGAATAAGAGAGCCAAAATCGTGAGGTGGGAACAGCATGAGGGAACACCATGAAGACTGGAGAAAGCAAAGAGAATAGTGCAATGAGAAAAGTCAGGAGAACCAGGGGCTGGATGGTGCAGGATCCCATTGTCCATGATTGAGGACTACAAAATTTAATTCTGTACATGACAGGAAGTTTTGCCCAAGAGTAGGGCAAGTGACATCATCCAATCTATGTCTAAAAATTTACTCTGGCTATACTATGGAAGAAACAGCAGAGGGATGGATGAAATAGCAGCAGGGGGACTAGCCAGGGACCTAGGTAGTCCATATGACAAGATAATGGACTGAATTAAGATGGTAATAGAAGTTGCAAGAAATGGTGAGATCCAGGACATATTTTAAGGTAGAGGGACTCTACCCATGGGACTCACTGTTAGAATTATGAGGGATCATGGAAAGCCTGAGTGATAAAAGGGAGCATTTTATAGTGACAGGAAGAGAATCAAGTAGAAGAAACATTTCTGAGTGGGAATGTGGCTAGGATAGGGTTATGGATCAAGCACTTTGCTCAGGTAAAAGTGTGGCTATTCTGACACTTAACTTGAGTATAAACAGTCTGAGGCCCAGTGAGAGGTAAGAACCAAAAATCAAACTTTGGGAGCCCAAATATAGTTATTTTTCAAAACCATTGTACTACATGAAAGAACAAAGGGGAAAAGAATAGCCAGAGAACTTGGAGCACTGAGAAAGACCAGAAAAAAACACTGAAAACCTACTTCTTTGCATTCATATACCTATATACCAGGTTGGTTCAAACACTACTTAGGCTTTAAGAAAACCGAAAAGTGACTGAAGCATCTTAAATAAATGCAATTTCCACAGATTTACTAAGACTAAATTTTCTGTAATTTTAAGAAAAATGCCTGTAAATATTGATGCAATAAAATAATCAGTTTAAAAGTAACTGCAAACCAAAATCAATAAGAATTAATTGGTTGACAAGTTAAAAATTTTAGCAATGGGAATAGAAATGTATGATCTATCTGGTAATCTGATAAAGTTACTTTCTAAAACATTTAAAGTAATTAAAACCTTCTAAGTCAATGAACATCAATCTCCAGTTTCCAAGAATGATGTTATCTCTGCATACAAAGAAGAAATACTACTTAAATTTGTGAATGACACAAATATGGAAATAAAGAGAGAATCATAGAAGTTCAGAATGTTAAGTTCTAAGAAGCAATTACTTAAATATACAACACCATCAACACCATCCTGGCTTGAGAAGTATTAATATGAAAAAAGAGGGAAGTTTGGTTGAACAAAACAGAATAGGAGTTAATGTGAGAAATTTGCTAGAAATATCAGAACAGTGTTCAATCAAACTGAGGGATATTTTAGTATCAGAGTATTAGTGAGACTGCACTGGAGTATTGTGTTCAAGTATGTACCATATCGAGCAAACAATATCAAATCTATCGTGGAATCAAAGCACAGTACTTAGGATGGTAAGTCTATAACGATCATAGGAATATTTCAAGAATCTGGAATTGATTAAACTAAAGAAGAAAAGGTCTGAAGAGAACATGACAGCTTCCAAGATTAAGTAGCTATTGTGAAGAAAAGAAAATAGACTAATAGATTGCTCAACAAGTTGGACCCCACATGCCTAAGTTCAAGAGAGGTAAAGATGGAGTTAAAACAGCATGCAGGACCATCCAAAGATGACTCAGCTGCTTCCCTAATGTTATACTCTTTCTACGATGGAAATACTTTGCCTAAAAGTTGGGGACTATCTACAAGAAAATTCCTGTGTGAAATGAAAGACACCTTTAACTAATCTTACCAATTTCAAAATCAATTATTTTTAACACTTTTTTCCCCTCCTTTGTTTATATCAAAAATGTCATGTTTTGAGTGTAAGTAGCCCTACAGAGACCCTGGCCTAATATCAGAGCATGCTCCTGAAATAGGCACTGAACCATAATCATTTCCAAAATTGAGGTTACAGTATTATAGCATTAAATTCTTTCTTAGTATAGCAAAAAACAGTAAATGCTCTTGCCCCGAAGAGCCACAAAAAGTAGCAGGCCCCTAATAATTCTTCCACTGACTCAATGTAAAAAGAATAAGCAGGGCATGGTGGCACACACCTGTAATCTCAACAGCTCCAGAGGCTGAGGCAAGAGGATTGGGAGTTCAAAGCCAGCCTCAGCAAAAGCAAGGTGCTAAGCAACTCAGTGAGACCCTGTCTATAAATAAAATTAAAAACAGGGCTGGGGATGAGGCTCAGTAGTAGAAGGCCCCCGAGTTCACTCGCCCCCACCCCTGCAAAAACAAATGGTAACAGTGAAGCAACAACTTGGTTCATTTTATTTTCATTTTTACCTCACATTTGTCTTGGAACTAAAACTAAAAAACAATGAAGATATATAAAATGAAACACATGCTTTTACACTAATGTTTTCCAGATCCAATATGTTCCTTTCTCTTTGTATATTCCTTCTTACTGGTAAGAGATGAATATGATCATCTTCCAAATGATGTTAACATGTACCTCATGAAGTATGGACTTTTCAATACAATACAATAAGGGTGTAGCTAGTTTTGAGCGAATTTGTCAGTCTCAACTCCCAAGTTATCCTTCTTAAAAGTGATCTACTTAATAGGAAGATGTTAGAGAGGATCATTTTTCCTAACCATCCTTTTCCACTTTACCAGAGCAAAGTCTGGTGCATTTGTCAAAACAACAGTATTACAACCATTAATTTAAAGCTCTATATTGTCTTACATAGTTCTCTAATTCTTTTCTGTGCGTTAAAGGTGTTTCATGTACTAAATTAAATTCCTTACCATTTTATAACATACAACTCTAGGAACAAAAGACAGACAAGGCAATGCTTATAGATCTTGTTTGAATTCTGCTTATTTGATTCTAAGCTTATCTAAAATACCTATGGACAAAGTATAAAATACTTTAAGAATATAAGTTACAATGCCATTAATAATTCAAACTTAGATTCAGTGGATGTGGAACTTTTCAACAACAACATCAACAAAAAAACACTATTTCTTCTGAGGCAGAGATCACCAAACCTTTTTTTCTTCTTTGAAAGGGCTACACAATAAATACTGTAGGCTTTGACAGCTATATATTCTCTGTCCTAACTATTAAACTGTGTTGTAGCAAAAGAGCAGCCACAGACAATATATACATCAATGAACATAGCTGGGTTTTAATAAAGCTATATACGCATAAGCCATTAGTTTGCTGGCTCATTTTATGTAAGTGCAAAAAATAAAAGAAAAAAAGGAGGGCATTACCAGATTTTCTTTGTCGTCGGCCCAACAAGTCTGTAACTGCTTTTCGGAATTTTTTTGCTTCTTCTTCATTGGCAAAATTAAGAGCAACTTGACAAGTCTAAAGTATTTAAGCAAAAAGGGTAAACAACAAAATGTAGAAATTTAGCTTTATATAACAAAAAATGATGACTAACATAAATAATAAATATATTTCTAAAGGAGAAAAAGTTGACTACACTGGTAGACAAGAAAGTTTTTTATGGTTTAAATAAATAAATGAGGCAAAAAGCATGAAAAAGTCAGGAATAGAGGTGTATGTCTGCAATCCCAGTGACTTGGGAAACTGAGGTAGGAGGATCACAAGTTCGAGGTTGGAGGACAGCCTAGGCAATATAGAGAGGTCCTAAGCAACTAAGCAAGATCCTATCTCAAGGTTAAACAAAAAAAAAAAAAAAAAAAAAAAGAGAGAGACAGGGAGAGAAGGTAAATGAAAAGACTATTATGAGAAGTTACCAAACAGACATTCAAATAATAAACTGAATAGTTCATCTTCAGCAAAAAATAAAAAAACTAAATTTGATTTTCAATAGGGCTCTATAAATATTTTGGATTAAAAAAGGCAAGTAATGGAAAAATTAAATATGACAATAAAGGAAAATATGACTTACATCTCCAGCAAAGGTATGAAAATATCCTCTAGGACTATTATATACAAAGTTATTGTATAGTTCTTGTTCCCACAATAATTTCCCATCCTAGAAAAAAGTAAAAATTCAAATAAGAGCTATCAAAAAAAAAAATCTCTAGGAATGAAACAAAGCAGATGATTCATGATAAGGGAATTGTTTATAACAACTTTTAGACACACATTACATATAATTGTAATATATTACTAATATACTATTTTATAATTTTTTGTTCTTTCATAATTTCTTAATAACAAAATAGTAAACATTGGATAACATTTCTTTCATGAAACCTACATGTAAAAAAGTTTAGTTCAATATGCTAATATATAATTTCACTGATCAGGCACTTCCTAATACAGTTACTTGGACAAAAAGATAAACAGAATAATTCTTAGATCAATGTTAGAGAGAAGAAATAGGATATGCAAGGCACAGTTCCATTAACAATATTCAGGCTGTGTGCTATCAAATATTACAGAAATGTTCATATTCTTTTCTTCAGTTTTACAGATGTGGGAGGGTCAAATATACCTTCTCTGTACTGTTTATTAACAATATTTGAATTCTTAACTTTTGCAGAGTGACCTATTGATGAAGTACCAAAATAAGTAGTATCAATCATACTACAGAAAGAGACTGGTGACTAAATCACATTAAGGTTAACCTATAGATAAAAAAAATATTTAATCTTCTTAACAAGGTGGCTAATTGTGTGTTCAGCTATAGTTATCTCCAATAGTAAATATGTGGTTGGAAAAACAATAATCATTGCCCCATACTAAAATGTAAGGTTCCACCTACACCATAAATTTAAAATATTTAAAATACACTGTACACACATGAACACTATCATGGAATTCCTTTCTTCTTCATATTACTCTATTTCTAAATAGTGTTTCACATTGATGATGAAAAATTATCAAAGTACCGAGGTTTTTTTTTTTTTTCAAACTATGGATACACTCCCATCTTTCAGAATCACTGCAGAGATGTTAAAAGGTTTGCTTGTCATCTATCTGATATCAGTGTCCAGTTTAGTGAAAGTTTCAGATTTTTGTAAGTAAAATCCCATTAAATCTATTGTCACATATAACTGTTAACCATGGAAATTTACCTACAGAAAGATGTTAAAAGATGTAATGTAGACTTCACTTCAGCAAAATGATAATTACTTTTCTGGCAACGATAAGAGATGAATACCTGACAAATCTATGGTATCAAATCTATGACAATACAGACTTGCAACCTGAGAGTGAAAAACATAAAACCATAAAAATCTGAATATAGAAACATAAGGAAAAATGGGTAGAAAATATTTTTTAGATTGTATAAATAATGCTTAAAGCAGTGCAGAAATAGCAGTACATACAAAACTGAAATAATAATCAATTGTTCCCTAAAAGGACTATGTATACTAGTTTGTGATGCACAAGGTAGAATGAAAGAGTACCACTAGAAAGAGAGACTGCACCAAGATCAAAAGGCATAATTAGAAAAAACCCAGTATCATTAATGTATGGTGACAATGAAGAGGTAAAATAGGAAACTACAATATTTTCCCCTTAACCAGAGGGATACATGAGAAGATATTCCACAGATGCCTGAAACCCTGTATAGTACTAAACCTTATGTTTGTTCTTATATATACATACTTATGATAATTTTTTTAAGTTTTTATTTGTTCTATTTAGTTACACATGACAGTAGAATGTATTTTGACATATTATATATATGTGGAGTATAACTTCCGTGGCTGTACATGATGTGGAGTTACACTGGTTGTGTATTCATATATGAACACAGGAAAGTTATGTCTGATTCATTCTACTGTCTTTCATATTCCCAACCCCACCTCTTTCCCTTCATTCCCCTTTGTTTCATCCAAAGTACTTATAATGATAAAATTTAACTTATAAATTAGGAATGTAAAAGATAAACAATATAACTAATAATAAAATTGAATAAATATAAAATACTATGATAAAGATTACCTAAAACTTATAAATCGTTTATTTCAGTAATTTCCCAGTTAATATTTTGGAAACATAGTTGATTGCAGGTATGTGTAACCATGGAAACAAAAAACTTGGATAGGAGGGAACTACAGTATTCATTTTTGCCTTAGGATCTGTTCCCATTTGATCCCAATGTCCATACTTCATATCTAAAACAAAACTCCACTCTTTGAATATTATTTGAAGTGCAATTTAATATTACACCAAGATAAAAAATAAATCTTCTATATTAAATCATAATTAGGCAGAAACCTAATCACATACAGTTTAAAGTGAAAGCAAAATAAAACTAACCTTAATGTCAAATATTCTTAAAAAATAAGATCTTTGTGGATTGTCCTTAACAAGACAAGCAACACCACTGCACTTCTTTGACCACATACAGTTCCGATCTGCTGCATATAATTGTACCACTGCTGAAGACATAGTCTGCAAAACATAAATTTTAAAGCCATTAGTTTCAAATAACAATCAGATGACCAGATAGATCCTGTTAATAATGTATCTTATATACAACCTCATGAAAGACACCAAACGGGAGGGGCAAAAAAAACCCACCAAACCAGGACCACCCAGCTAAAATGCTCCTGAATTGCTGGCTCCCCTCAAAAGGAGATAAGATACACTTATTATTATTATTTGAAGCCACTATTTTTCAAAGTAACACATACCTAATATAAAACCATATAATAATAATTATGAAAAACTCAACATTTATTATACTTAAAATACATCAGGAAACCTGCTAAGCACTTCTAAATGTAACTTTATTGAATTGTTAGTGCTATTTTAACCTCATTTTATATTTGAGAAACCCAACACTAATGGGTTAAGTAATTTACCCAATATCACACAACTACATAGTACAGCTGAAATTCCAATTCAGACAATGTGTGACTTCAGATCCTGTATTAAATTATATCCCAATAAATTAAACATTTAAGCAATGAAGTACTAGTATTAGTAAAGGTTGACTTCTAATAAGATAGTTAAGCACTTATGATACAGGAGCTAAGTCAAGTAAGATTAGGGGTTACTAATTATTGATGCTAGATACCTAATCATATTATCACTGTAGTAAATGTATCTCCTTTATAAAAGATGTTAAAACTGAAGGAAAAAAATTTTAAGCAACTTGCACAACTGGGCACATATTAAAGGAATGACATTTAGTCCAAAAAAAAACCCATGATTACTGAGAATAAGAAAAACTATTTGAATGACTATTATCTTGATTTTCCCCCAAACAGTACCTAATTAGAATATTTTGGAGGCATAGGAGAGAAGACAATTCATTACGTGCAACAGACATTTGGACAAAATTACTTTCCAGAACACCTGTTGCAACTATCCTTCTGGATATTATGAAACAATGGAAATTCCCATTTTATTCTACTTTTTTTATATTATAATCTAGAATGTAAATATATACACATACATACTGATAAAGTTCTTTTTAAGTCCAATGAAAACAATAATCATGTTTTTTTGAGTAGTAATGTCACTCCTAAACTAAAAATTAAAGAAATATATAAATTTTTAGTTTAAACAAAAAATTTCACGAATATATAGTAACCATGTTTTGTTTAAAAAATAATTTAAATAAAAAGAGTCTCTTATTCAGTAATTATGATACTTCAGTTCAATAAAATTTGGGCACTGATCAAGAAGAGACTACATTAAGATTTGGAGATTATTTTGAGTTTACTTTGCCTGGGCACTGCTTTCCTTTGGAAAGGATTCTCTTAAACTATAATACACACAAATCTTTTAAAATGCTCAAAATCAGAAATGTAAGATTAGAATAGTGTTAGGGATCAAAAGTTCCTACACACTTTTCCAGGTAACAGTGCTTAATGTTGTATTTTTACCAAATTCATCTTTGAACTTCAAATGAGCAGAACATAAAGCAGCAGAAAATCTTCCACAAAAACTCAAAAATTATGAAGATACCTTTGAAACAGGATAAGTGCTTCACACCAAGACATTGGATTTAAAATAGGAGACTAAAGAATGCAGATGCACCTCTGGCTTGCTCAAGACCCACCAGTATTTTGGAAACATGCAATCACAGGAAGACAACTCCACAGGCTTCCTGCTCTGAACCCTTAGTACTAAACCCTTAAGGTATTAAATACCAGGCCTAAGAGTTCAAAAATCATGGGGCTGGAGTTGTAGCTCAGTGGTAGAGTGCTTGCCTAGCACATGTGAGACACTGGGTTCTATCCTCAGCACCACACAAAAATAAAATGAATAAAATAAAGGCATTGTATTATGTTCATCTACTGCCAAAGGAAAAAAAATTAAAAATTTAAAAAATCATATGAGAAGATTTGTAGTCTAGTGAAAATTCACATTACAGTCCTTTTAGTATGGTGTTGTCAAAATACATTCATTTCTAAAAAGAAAAGCAATTGAGCAAGTAGATACCAAGACTACCTACTTAAAAACAAAAAGCAAAAAAACCCCAAACCTCTCTACTTTACTTTTTAAGTAGAAATCAAGAAGCAACAGCTTGAAAGATAAAATAACCTTACTTATAGAATCTGAAATTCCATTTCTTAAAATACCTTTGTCAAAGATCACATATTATTAACATTGTGAAACACTGTTTGGATGTATATGTGCAAAATTAAAAAACTAGAAAAAAATTTATATTTAAATATTTATATAAATTTAAAGCAAATTTCCAAAACATCTGTATAAGAAATAAAGACATGTATTCTATAATTTTCCATGCAAACATAGTTTGGTATTATAAAATTATTCTAATACTAAAGAAAACTCAAATATTTGTAAGCAATTCTCAATAACTGCATATTCAAAACTTTGCTACAATTTTATTGTAAGTTGGTATCTATTTTACCCTTTTTACCTTGACCTGGGCAAAGTCTGAAAATAAGAAGTCAGAGCACCCTATGAAGCCATTTCTAATTAATTCAAAATAATTACTGTAAATGCAAAAATTGCTTGCACATTCAACATTTAATATATAAATGCCAGACAATATAAAAACAATAACTATCCCTTAAACTCCAGATGAACAGTGGCTTAATTACACTTTTAAAAACATTCCTTCCATTCCTTTAAAGCAATTACATCTAATCAACTCCATCACTTCTTGTCTTTCATAATTGAGATGGTATTAATGAAAAACAATCTGAGAAGTGCTTACGAAGGGAAATCTATTAGCCCAATAATGTAAGGTTAAAATCTGTTAATTAAAAGGTAAAAAAATCACAGTATCAATTTTTATATACATATTTTAATATCTTTATTTATTTATTTTTATGTGGTGCTGAGGATTGAACCCAGTGCCTCACACATGCTAGGCAAGTGCTCTACCACTGAGCCACAAGCCAGCCCCCACAGTATCAATTTTTGTAGAACCAAAACCTTATCATTTCGGGTATTTCAGAACTGAGTAACCACAATAACATATTTATCCTTAGACTTTCACTGTCAAGAACAAAAACTAGATAGGGGAATGTATCCTGAGAAGTAAATTCCCTCTCGCTGTCCTTCAACAGAGCACCTTAAGCTGATGTTGCACCAACCAAGAAATATTTCCCTGATTCTCTAGGATGAAATGCTAACTGCTTTTTCTTTGTGTTTCTAGAGTATTTTTTTTAATGTTACTCTGTTATACTACAAATCTCATTCTAAAATAGAATAATCTTCTGTTTGATTTCTTACCCATAAAAGAGAATGTAATTCTCACAAGCATTTACAATAGTTCTGCAAGCCTATATTATCACTCCTCCTATACTTTGTCCCTAAGTAAACAAATATTTGTTATTTGAAAATTGCATGCTCTGATTTTGATAATGATACTATGATAATGACCTTGATTTCAGGATATACACCCTAAAATATTGTAAAGGGGTACTATGCCTTCAAATTACTCTCAACTTACTCAGAAAAACAACAGGTAAGCACACATAAGCACACATATATGAGAGAAAGAAAAAAAAAAACAACCGAGGTAAAGTATTATAAATATGAAGGCTATACAGAAATTGTTTGTACTGTGTTTGTAGTTTATTTTTCTGTAAGTACAAAAATATTTCAAAATTAAAAAAGTTTAAAAGCACAAACAATTCATGAAAATGCAGGACTCTCAGCCCCCATACACAGCCATGGCAGTTTTGACAAAGTGGTTCTCAAGAGTCATTACTACCTTTGCCACTGCTAACTGACCCCAAACTAAGAAAATAAACAAGTATCTGCCCCTTCTTCCAATCCCTTCTATATGCATATCAACTTTGTTAAAAGGAGGGCCATCCTAAGTAAGACTCAATCCACAGACATCTAGAACATTTATAACAACCACATTATGTAACAGGTCAAAGGAAGATTTTAGATCAGGAAAATAGGTGTTTCTGTTATTACAAAATAGCAAAGGACTGGAAAATAGCAAGACTCATAGATCCCTATTATTTTTTAAGAGAGAGAATTTTTTTTATATTAATTTTCAGTTTGCGGTGGACACAACATCTTTTATTTTATTCTTATGTGGTGCTGAGGATCGAACCCAGCCCAGGCAAGAGTGCTACCGCTTGAGCCACATCCCCAACCCCACAGATCCCTATTTTTAATAAAAAAACTGCCTATAACAAATACTAAGATAATGTAATACTGAACAAGTATTTATAACAATTGATATTTAATAATAAATATATAATGTTTTTAAAGGAAATATTTTAAGATAAATATTCAATAAATATCCAAAATATGTCAAGTGTGGGGGCAAAAATCTTATGATGAACTAAAATCAGCCTTTTCTATAAGCACATTGGTCTAGTTAATAGTCAAATACTCCCACTTTTACATGTATGTATATGTCTGTGTGTGTACCGGACCCCCAAATGCATGGAAACTAATCTGAGAAAAATCCATTTAAGTTTTCTCACTATATAAAAGCTAGGCTTTAAATATATTTTTAAATGTTCTGATGATGTGTTTCTATGCAATAACCCACTGTTACTGAGTATGAAATTTTAGTCTACATTATACTAAGGGAGGAAGACTGGTTGAATTCTTGTAATTAATTAACTATGCAGTGATCTCAAAGAACAATTTTCTAAATAATAAAAGTATATAAAAAAGTATAACACCACCATGGTTCTATGTTAACCTAAAAAACCAATATAGAAACCAACAATTTTTAAAAAATTAAAACAACATATCTGTAGTTAACAAGCATCTCCTAAGTGGTCAGTATGAGTAAAAACAATCCAGGGAAAGAAAACACAAAACTCCACTTTGGAGAAATCTTACCACCTGGTAATTTTTAAAATGAGAAATAACTAGAAAAGGAAAGAAAAAAACAGAAAGAAAATGGTAGAGATTAGTAAAGACAGACAACTCTACAAGAAATAATTAATTTTAAAAAACCAAAGCTGGAGGAATGAAGGAGGAGGAGAAAG